TTCTTCATTTTGCACTATATTTCTTTATAACAAATTTTTCGGCAGTCTGAGCGACTTCCCAACGTGATATTCGGTTTTAGCGGGAAAAAATACATAAGAATAACATAGTTAACATCCATCTTTTTCACGTGGCCTATCCAACCCCTCTTCGGCTCCAAGACTATATAGAGAGAAAGTTCATATTGTAACGTTGTAATAAATAAAATAGTCGTTGTTTTTAGCCGTATACACGGAAAAACTTTTGACCATGTTTCAGGCTCGAATACATAGAGATACATTCACGCTCTGAGTCGAGCACAATTCATGCTCAGTCCCGAGCGCGAAACGCCCTCGAGTTCTGTCGAGTGCGTATTATGACCGACGCTGAGCAGGATATTACCCTTAACTCAATCTGGAAAGAGATTCGCGCTCGAAGTCGATCACAGTTCATGCTCAGACCCGAGCACAAAATGCTCTCGGGTTCGGCCGATGCGAGCGAATTAATCCTGAATCATGAATTTGAAAGATTAATGTGTCTATATGCGTAACGCAGCAAACAGAATTAGCATGACAGAACATAGGGGAAATATTTTGGATTCTTAATATCTTTTGAAAATGGTTGAAAACACCCATTTATAATTATATCATTCGAAAGCGAATAAGATTTCCTATAACATCTATATAATCTTTTCATTTAATAAACTATCATTGGTTAAAATTTCACTTCCATCTAAATTTTTTTCATTTTCGCTACAGCCTGCTGAAGGGGGCTTAATATACTGTGTTTTATATTTGCATTGATTTATTTTAAAAAACAGTTTGTAAAACCAAAATGACAGTCTTTACATAGTAATTCACTTGACTATAACACTTAATTCATTGTCAAATTGACCAAGTATTACATTGTGGACGGATGTTGCGAGAGTCACCACCCCATATAAATTTCTTATATTCAATATTTATTCATTTTTGTTAAATCTATTCAATAATTGTGACTGAGTGGCTCAAGACTGAGCGTAAATCGCGGCTGAAACAAACTCAGCCGAACTCGAGCGTGATTTACGCTCAGCCTCGAGCGTCAATCGCGCTCAGTGCTGATGACGAAACGAGCTCAGCCGAACTCGAGCGTGATACACGCTCGGGCTCGAGCGTGAATCGCACTCAGTGCTGGTTATGAAACGAGCTCAGTAGAACTCGAGTGTGATTCGTTTTCAGCATTCGATCGTAAAACATGGTCAAAAGTTTTTCCGTGTATATTGGTTCTCCCGATCAATTACACGACCCCTGTCCCGGCAGGTGAAGCCCACGACCGTTGGAGTAAGAAAAGGGTCTTTCACACGAGATGGGAAAAGAAAATTTTCCCTCTACGACTCTGCACCGGGAAGCAGTGTCGCAGTGTAACACCAACCCACCAGGCCAGGATGAAAAATTTCACGCAGTATTTGAAATTTCCATTGAATATTTTTTTTCAAAGTTACGAGTACGTATAGAAAATGATAAAATAAAATGATGCAGGTGAATTTTTCACAAAATTTTCATATCCAAAAAACGCGTTGAAATAGTACATTAAGTTTTCATACTTATATACTTACACTTTTCATATTTTCGAAAAAATGCGTTTTAAATACCAGTGAACAAATATTTCAGAATAAGTCTTATGGACGAAGAAGAAATAACGAAGTCCCGAATAATACAAACATACACGATGCGATAAGCCACATAATAACTGACCATTAGTTTCTGTTAAGGTACCTGAGCAAACATATACGTACCCGGCGAGCAACAATTGATCGAAGTCACGATGATAGTTCCGATATAGCCACGTCGAACACGTGCTACGTTAAACGTTTCGTATACATGCGCGCGCGGCCGAGATCACGAGTTCCCGCGCGAGATATTTCGTTGCGAGCCCCTCACGCGCAAAATATTGTTCTATACGTGCGATCGATTAAACACTAGCCGCGAGATCGGTACGAATCGACGCGTTGCGATTTATGCGCGGAGGGAAAAAACGGCACGAACATTGCACCGCTCTGCGTTTTCTACGATAATAATTGATAAATCGTCGACTCGTGTTCGCGGCCGCGCAAGAGTCAATTTCAGCATTCGACTGCGGTGCGGCTGGAGAGGAACAACGAGCTGTCGTTTTATTTTCATTACCACGCGTGGGAGGAGAGGGAGGGAATGTATCCTTTCGAGGCTGGTTTTCGTGTATGCAATATGCCGCGCGCGAAGATATAATAATAATAATAATAGTAATAAAGTACGTAATAGATCGGTAATATAATACGTGCCGTGCGTACAGGCTGAACCGTTGAAAAAAAAAATGAATAAACGTATATCGAGAAAATGTTAAACTCGCGACGCGTATGCCGATGGAGCGGCAGAGAACTGCGGGATTATTATTTAGTTCGTGCCTCGCAGCATACCGCATTACACACCGGGTTAACTATATACACCTACTCTCCGATCCTCTGACAATTGAAATCTCTCCGAGCTGCTGCTGCGGCCCTTTATATGATATACTCGCCGTAACGATCGCACGCAGTAGTGCAGTACCTACCATCGACGTGGTTATTAAATTCAAACGTAATATCAAGATTATTATTGTTGTTGTATACTACTGGTCGAGCGTCAAATCTTTATCGACGCGCCTCTATATAATATTGAATGCTGTATACGTGTCTATGATCAGATTAACGAGTGTATTTATTCGATTTTACATGGCGAGGTTCGCGCGCGAGCATCGACGATATTGCGCAAATAAGCACATTTTACTACTACTGCATGCCGCGCGCGGCTCTCCATGCCCTGCTTCCCCTCGCGAGAGAGATAGTCTCGCGTCTTATCCGCTAGATGATTTTATTTTGAATTTTTTTTGCTTTGCTTTTCTTCTTCTATACGCCTGTATATCAGCCGCGCGCGCGCACACACAGGGAGTACACAACTATTTCGATCTCTCATCTCTCTCGCAGCTGGATATCTTGCTCTCGTTCGGCATGAAAAAAAAAGTATATCGCGAATGATCGCTGCAGCACACCAAACGGCTATCCAGTGGCGTAATACAATAATCCTCGCGGAATTCATTTTCATTCCTCGTTTCATTTATTTATTATTTCTTTTTAATTGAGAATAAATTTAGATGGTATTGTATTTATAAAGGCATATAAAGTCGGCAGCGGCAGCTAACTCCGTTCACGTAATGAAATTCTTTCGTTACTGCGGGCAGGAATGATGTGCTGTATAGCAGCTGCAGCAGCCCGCGTATCTGTACAATATGTGTATGATAATAATTCAGATGGTTTTCTAATTAACATTTTTCATCGTTGTCGCACGTGTGTGTGCACGTCACAGAGTGCCTATTAGTACACACACATACACACAGCTGCGGTTGATGCCACATTTTATTCAGTCCCCTCGCGAACACGACCGTACGTATTAATCGAGATATAAGCGCGACGTTACATAAGGATAAATTGTTTAGATCGATTAGAGGCTTCTTATATCTCGAGAACTTATTGTTATTGTAGCCATCGCTGTTGCTGCTGCTGCTGCAGTTGTTGTTGTTATTGCGATACCGCTGCGGCGCAGCGAGCGATATTTTTTTATTTCCTATTATTACCATTGAATGCTTGGATTATTATTTTGCGCGATAAACGTATAAACATAAACTCGAATCGTTCCATTGAAATCTGTGCCATATACCCTGGAGAGCAGGAGAGAAAAAAAAATAATGAGGAGCCCAGCGATGCGCGCGCAAATTGTGCACATTTAATGAAGGCAAAAGTCGCTCGGTGCTCGTATACACAGTCGTGTGTATTATGGATATGGGATGTGCGCGCGTTGACCAGATAGACTAAAAATTGCTCATTGTTGTATGTACACGGGCAGAAGACACCACAGAATTCTCGCGCGCGACAAACGATCGCCGCGTGATAGACCCGAAGCGCTCGTCTACTAGTAGAGTATTATGCTTTTATATCCAGGTACAAGCAACGAACACGAGGATCCGGACTTTCTAATTTTATCCAAGAGGAATCGCGTGAGTTTGCTCTTACGGGCGCATCGGACACACAGAGAGAGGAAATGTCACTTAAATGTGCCTCCGCGTCTGTACACGTATAATACGACGTGCCGCCGCGTCACACCACCGACACATCCTCGTTATCCTTTTCTTTTTCTTTTTCTTTCTTTTTTTGTTTTGTTTTTTTTTTCGCCCGTAATTGCTCGGCGAGGAAGTCGCGAGTATTGTACGGCGCGCGCGCCCACCGACCGTGTATCGTTACGTGTGTATGGGCTTTTACCCGCGACGCGGCAATTAGTTTGTATAAATAGGATAATGTCGATCGATCGATCGATTCACAATACGTGCTAAATGTGCGTGATTGCGTCAATTTGAAGAAATGCAAATTATTATTGTTATTATAATTGATTATTATTCAAAACCTTCAATACGCAAATGTAACTTCAATATGAAACTGTTAAAAAAGGATCTATGTTGGCTGATCTTAGATGGATTAAAAATCAATTGTTTTTCTAGAAGTTATTAGAATGTTTGTGAGCTAAAAACCCAAAAGATGTTGTTTACGAGTTTGTTTGCATCATTAGTAGCAACTAATCGTCCTTTTCAGTCAATTAAACCAATTATTAACATTATAATTGGAGTTAACGACGCGTCAATAGAATACAAACATACTAATTGATTGTTGTTTTTTCCTTGTTTTTGTCGGGTATCAAAAAGTCACCGGGCGCCACTAAATCAAAATTACACTATCTAGATAGCAAACTTAGTGATGCTTGTTGTGGCATTTGATACGTCGACGCACTGACCTAAATTAGTTTATGAGTCTTTGTTGAAAATTTTTATAATGTTTATAACCGATAAACAAAAGTTTCCGTTCCGGGTGAAAATTGTTGTTATTTTGCTCGTCACTACGAGCGCATATAAAAATGTCTCGAGGGACGGGACTATCAGATACAAAATCGAAGCTTCGAAGTAGCCGCGTAAGCTTTTAACAATCATGCAGTCGATACAGACAAAGTACAAATTAATCTTCAATCTCGTAGGTTTACTCCTGTTTTTGCATCCGTGCCATGGTAAGTTAGTTTTACAAGATATATCCCAAATTACTCACTAATACTATGAAAAAAAAAAAATTTTTTTTCAATTAACTTCCGTAGGCAAGTTGAGAATAGTCGGTGGCGATTTAGCTGAGCCTGGTCAATTCAAATATCACGTAGCTCTGGAAAGAGAGAGGGATAGATTCTATTTCTGCGGCGGAGCCATCGTGAGCGATTGGCACGTCGTGACAGCCGCTCACTGTTTCGTGAAAAATGGAGATTTCAAGTGGCAAGACCAGAGACTCCAGGTCGTCGCGGGTCTCTTTGACTTGAAGAAACGAGAGTCAGCCGTAATCCGCAGAATCGATAAAGTTTACGTGCCCACCCGCTACATGTATAACACTAATTTGAGCGACATAGCCATGGTTCGGGTACGTCGAAATCGGAGCGACTCGTTGGATAAAATTGAATAATGCAGACTCGAGCGATACAAATTCATGTGTTTGTTGCAGTTGGAGAAGCCATTGGGCCTGGCCACGAATCCAAACTTAACAGCCTTGAAGGCAGCTGACGCAAAACTACAGCTTGCGAATAGAGAGGCTATAGTGACGGGATACGGCTACAATCAAATCGAATTGATACCCCTTGAAGATGGTTTCGACGAGGTCGGCTATTCGGATGAGAAATTGAGGTACGGTGTCACTCAAATTTTCTCCAACAGCATGTGCAAGAAGCTTTACGAGGCGGCAATGGAGCCGAGTCCCCCGTTGGGAGTAATCTGTGCCAAGATGCGTCAGCGCGACCAAAACAAGGACGAGGGTGTTTGCTCGGTGCGTATAATTAAATCGTTGGAAAAATTAACTTTTTTGTTCGGAAACGAGCTGAGACTGACTTGTATTTCGTGTATTACTACTGCACAGGGTGACAGCGGCTCGCCACTCGTGTACCAGGGCACAAAGATCATCGGTGTGGTGTCGGCCAATCAAGAAAACTGCACCGACGCTTATGTACCGACTATGTACACCAGAATTACGACGCATCTGAGGTTCCTGTCGTCGGCCTTGAAAGACCTAGAGAGTCGGAAAATTCGCACGTTCACATATTCGTCACAATATTCATCCATAGAAACCCAAGAGGCATCGGTTATGAAAGACCTCGAGAGTGAGGAAACTTCCACCAATCCATCACAATTATCTCCCGCAGAAACCAGCGAGGAGTCGATCTTGAAAGACCTCGAGAGTGAGAAAAATTATACGTCCAGCTATTCGTCACAATTTTCTCCCATAGAAACCGAAGAGGCATCCGTCTTGAAAGCCCTTGAGAGTGAGAAAACTACCACCGATTCGTCACAATTGTCTACCACCGAAACCAACGAGGATTCGGCCTCGACAGAAGTCGATAGTGAGGAAAATTCCACTTATTCGTCACAATTGTCTCTCATAGAAACCGAAGAGGCATCGGTTTTGAAAGACTTCGAGGATGACAAAACGTCCAGCTATTCATCAGAATTTTCGCCCCTAGAAAACGAAGAGACATCGACCTTGAAAGACTTAGAGAGTGAGGAGAATCAAACGTCTACTTATTCATCAGAATTATCTACCATAGAATCCAACGAAGCATCCGACTTCAAAAACCTCGAGAGTGAGGAAAATCAAACATCCAGCTATTCGTCAGAATTTACTCCCTTAGAAAACGAAGAGACGTCGGCCTTGAATGACCTCGAGAGTGAGGAAAATCAAACGTCGAGCTATTCGTCACAATTTTCTCCCATAGAATTCAACGAGGTGTAGGCTTTTTTCTCGAGAAAGGAACCAAGAGTATCGTCGAAACTCCAATAACGACGAAAAATAAGAAAAAGGAAATGTTTTCTTTTTTTTTTCTTCGGCGCGTCGAATGAAGTAATTTTACGCGTCGGTTATTGTTATAAATTTTTTTGTTTTCTTTTTTCGTTGTAGTTGCTGTACGTACGTGAATTACTATTGCCGCGGTACTGTCAGTCTCATCTTTCTCAAGGCTGCTGCTACCGCTGCCGCGCAAAAGTTATAACTTTGAGATATTCGCGGTCTTAACGGCCGTAAAATTTTATACATCAAGGTCCATTACAAGAGCAGAGCATACCGAAAAACAAAACTTGCGCATGCATACAATGTATTTGTACGCGTGGTTGTACCCAATGGTGAACTTTCGCGCGAGATTGCTACTTTTTTTCGGCTTTTACGACGAAAAAAATACACGCGAATTTCGCTCGTGCAATTCGTGTATTACACGCGTGCGCAAGGGGAGGCTGTAACGCGCACTGGCACGTACGTACGATACGCACGAAACGTTGTTGTTGTTTTTTTTATTATTATTAATTTTGTTGTTGTTGTTTTTATATTTTATAAAATGAGGGAACATGGCTGACGCATCTCACGCGCATACCATTGTTCATGAGGATAATATTGAGGTACATTACATATGCCGCATAATTATGAATGTAATCGACGTAATGAGATTTGCGTATCATGTATAAACCATAACAATTTTCTGTACTTGACGCCGCCGATTGGTATGTTTCGTTTATTCACAAATTACATTAATGAGCATTCATTAATCAGTGTTGTTAATTAATGTTTAATCTCGTACCGCGTTACTATGTGATAAATAGCTCAACCTTGCATCTTGTTATTTATCTCTTTTTTGGTAGTGTTTAATAAAGTATTTTAATTGAAAATATTTTCATTTTTGATTCCTTTATTCGTTTAACACCTTCCGACAAAATGTTATTACTCTTTTGTATAATATCAAAATTATTCACAGCATGAAATTAATCAACTTTAAGAAACATTTAATCAAATTTAGAAGTGTACTAAAATTTTTCCTTGAGACTCCGTGTATCTATAACAACCAACACTTGAGCTTTCTGCTTATCTCGGTTAAGCCAAGTACTCGATGAAATTCTCGACATTTCTTAGTCGATTAAAAAGAGAAGAAAAATTCAAACCCACGCCATGGAACGCGCGTTGTAATTTCATACAGCGTCGCGAAATGAAAATACATAATAAACGGAAATAAAAGGCAAGTAATAGCTTGTAAATATATGGAACACAGCGCACGGCTTATATCGGCGTAATAACACATACCCACATACACACATATAGCGCGCGCGCGTACGGGGGCAAAACACGCACGTAACCCGCGACGAGTGGAAAATGAAAAATAAAAAAAAAATGTAAGAAAAGAAGGGAAGGTAAAGTATCGGGCTCGTGTTCTCGTATACGATCTCTCGCGCGCGCGCGCGCGGCTAATCCAATCTCTAGCATTAAATCAGGTACGCTGCGCGCACAGCAGCAGCGGAGAACTGCAATTCGATCTCCAATAAAACACATCGGAGTTTTGAGATAAATAAAAAGTAAAAAAGTTAAGTATTTAAAATTCCGAGCAATTAATACATTTATAGCCCCGCGTGGAGCTGCGCGTACTCTCTTGGGCTGTAGCTGCTGCTTAGCTGTTTTTTCTTTCAGCGCCGGTATGTCTAGATGTATTATTACATTATGTGCGCACGAAGCGGTGCAGTGCAAACTTTTCTGATGGATGATGATCGTCGTCTATGCATAGAGACACTTTCCCTCGTGTATTCGTATACGCAGTATATATAATAATCGTACGCCGCATCAGATGTGAAATTACTCGGAGCGACTCTCATGGGAATGACGACGAGGATTTATATCTATAGCTCGGCGCAAGAATAGACGATGGGCGGTGGAAAAAAAGAGAGAAATATCTATGTGGAGTCAGCTTTAATCGCCATTGCCAATTAATCTCTATCTCGGCGTGTGTGTTTTTCGTTTTTGCCCATAAGCGATTGCACGCGTGGAGCTTTGAACCCTTCCGACTTTTCTTCTTGTAAATCCTCTTAAAAGATTGTTTTTTTCGTATGAAGATAACAGCGAGTTATAATATGATGTGTATTTTAGTAGTCAATGGATCGTTTCATACTTCATTGCGTATAATGATCGTTCGTGCGTGTAAGCACGCGTTTGATTGCGAGCAGCGAAAAAAATGTCGATCACGAAAATCGAGCGAAGAAAAGTGAAAAAAAAGAGCGACGACGACGACGACGACGACGCCACGACTTCGTCACAGTAGAGGAATTTTCATTAATGAGACAATGGCAATAAACATTATAATTTCTTACAGTATTTTTATGTCGAACATCTGAGTGTTTATATATTGTAAATCGCATACGTATACATTTAATTTGCATAATAAATCAGGCTAACCTTTTTTTACTATACAATCAAATCGTAAACTCTTACAATGCATTTGTATCTATATGAGTTATTTTCAATATATAACGTTTCTTTCGTGAGTTGGTGAAAAAGTAATTACGAGCGAATAATGAAACATTTTTTCTGCATATTTTTCGCCCAATGCATTTGGTTTAGTTGAGCACACACAGCCATACATACACGCAGAGCCGCGAATGAATAATTGGAATAACAAACCGTCGATTATTCACCGAAGCAGAGTAAAAAAATAGTTTACGCGAACAACCGCGATGCGGATTACAATGGCCCCGGCTCATTGCGAAACTCCGATGGTGGCGTGTATACACACGCCCATACGGTAATCGGTAATGATTTGAAGAAAAAAAAATGAAGTAAATTCGCAGTATTTTATATACGTACACCCAATCCATATACGTATAAAATACAATCGAGCTAAAAAATCATGACAAGTAAACGTACATTTGTACGATTTGATAAAGAAAAAGGTTAATTTATATACGGAGGAGTGTCGGGCGTGCGGCGCGCGCGCGCTCACGGTGTCTGGCGTGCAGTGACTGCTTTCCACGCCGCTGTTTATGAGTGTGTGTGGCTCTTCCCATCGAGAAAGTCTTCGTACTTGATGGATTTCGTGAGTTTGTGTATAATAATACACGACGTACGTAGCGCGCTGCGCTGCGCATTGGCGGGGAAAGTTCGCGCCGTTTCTGTCCGTTTTCATCAACGCTATATACAGAGGCGCCGGCGCAAGGATGTAATTCGAAGTTCCGATTAATATTGGAAAGATGAAATGACATGTTTAATGGTCTCGTCGTTAGTTCAGCGAAATTTTACGTGAAATTATGTTTACATGGAGGTGTAGAAAATTTTTTTTTCTATAGTTTCAACCCTTAGTTTCAACTCACGAGTAGAAGAAAATATATTGTGGCACGACGAAGCGTATGCGCGCAGCTTGAAATTTTTGGCAATCTCTCGAACAATATATTTTATAGTTAGCTTGTTGGCGATAGATGTCGCATTACTAACCTCAAAGTGGTTAAATCAATTTTGGTTAATAAATTGGCAGATATAAAAGGACATAATAGGTATCATGTGGTAGGTAAATTTATAACTCGATCGATTTTACTCTAAAAAAAAAAGGTAATTGTATATTTATTATATAAAAATGAATAAAGTAAAATTGTATCGTCTACAAATATGGTTTGCATTTGTACACTGGACTATCATAATAACGCAAGTAGAGTCACTAGTTGACTCTCTTTTGCGAGCGCATCGAGCCATTCTGCCAATGTTTCATGAGCAGCTACGTAAGAAGAAGTCAACCGTCAGCAGAGGCAGCAACGTTATATACGTTTGAAACCTTGAAATCGCACGATGCACCGTCTATTGCGCGTCCTTCTTTTGGTGCGCGCACACACATACACACACTTACACGTATACACGGAGCGTAACGCGCCTCGCGATGAAGTAATACGCGCGCTCGCGACCCTGGACAATTGTGTGGAAAAAAAAACGTCTGTTTGTACATCACAACTTTTCTATGTGTGTACGCGTATATATATAGCTCTCAGAGCTCGAGTATGTAGCTGTAAGCGCACATACACATACCTTATACATCGGACTATTTAGGGTCATCTGCCATTCATGACGATGTATCTCGCTTGGTTAGCATTTATAAATAAAAAAAAAAAGAAATAATCACACTTGAAAAGAAGAAGCTCTTTGCCAACGCATTAGTGTAGAGAATTTTTTTTCGTCAATTCACCATGTTTTCTTACATGAAAGTCTTGGGTTAGAACATAACATAGGAGTGCAGAGAGCCGCTTCTACTTTGTCATACCGATCGGATGATATACGGCGCGCACGTGTGCACGTCCGTAATGTGCGCATACGTACACCGTCCGCATAACTTTTATATAAAATATAAAAAAAAAAAAAAAAACAGAAAAAGAAAATTACAATGGACTTTTGAGCACGCGCTCGGGAGCGCGTATTTATTTATAGAGAAAATAATATAATTGCGCGAAAATACTTACTACTGCTGCTACGCGCGAAATAAATCATCGGCATTACAACGAAATTTTTCTCTCCGTATAGCTTCTCTGGCGAGAATACCGACGTACCGCATACGCATGCACATGTACACGATTTATGTAACTCTCGCCGCGCGAACTCGCTGCGTGCAGCGCACACATTACGAGCGCACGGCAGCAGCAGCAGAGATATACCGCACGCATGGCGAGCGTAGCATATCTAGCTAGACGCTTAGTCTCGCCTTTACTTACTTATTTATTTATTTTACTTTTTTGCTTGCCTATAATCTATCGCGTAATGAGCATCGCGTATTTACATTGTATTATTATTGGAATTTGCAGAGAGATGTAAGCGGCTGTGTAAACACACCGGAATCGCCGTATAATATGGCATAAATTTTGTTGCGCTTTGTACTTTTCTCTCGCATTCGGAAATTTAAAGCTCGAGCTTTTGCGATTATTAATTAACCGGCTGTCGGCTGCGATTAC